GGGGGGGGGGGAACGACCCCTCCCCCACCAATCAATCAATCAAGAAAACAAAAACAACAGTGGGTTCGTTCAACCCGTGTGTTTGTGTGTGTGAACACATATATGATTCATCTTCAGCATAGATACTATGCTCCAAATCATCAGGACATTGTTACACAGGATAAATGAAAACACTCGCCATCATGCTCAAAGGTGATCTATTGCTTTCCACAGTAAGTGACGACAACAATGAAAAGGGATCATTCTTGAGTCCCAATATACCATTCAAGCTGAGCTCTGTGACCAAGCAAATCAGTCAGGGAGACCACGCAGATGCTGAGGGAGTCCTAATGAGGGAGGGAACGCAAGGGTAGGAGGAGGGGTAGAACGGGATGTGGAGATAGCAAGAGATAGAGAGGGGGAGGGAGGGAGGAAAAAATGACCAAAGGAAGGAGAGAAAGAGAAAAAGAGGGAGAGGGAAAGAGAAAGTGAGAACGAGAGAAAGAGAAAGAGAGGGAGAGAGAGGTAGAGAGAGGGGGGAGAGAGAGAGAATTACGATCTTCAGAGGGATCGATCAATCAAAACAGCAATCCCAAAAGAACCTCACCACCTCCAAGTTATGGAAACACGTATTCTTCGGTAGGGTAGCAAAACACATGCTCTCGCCAGGGATGCCTGGACGAACGGTCAAGCCCTCACGGCACAGATCCATGCTGATTACTACAGAAATCAGAAGGCGCCTACTCTAAACCGAAACGAACTGCTGAAAAGAAAGGACATCCCATATCATTATTGTGCCCATGCGTGGGCAACCAATCAAGCCATAGCATTGGGGTATACAACCACCCCTCTTAGTACTCAACTGCCACTTCGTCTCTACGCAACTGTTCAGTAAGGAACGATCCAGCTCTCCCAGCATAGATCCATGCTGATTATTACATACCCCAGAAAGCGTCTCTTTTTAAAAAAAAAAAACAGAAATGAAATGCGGAGAAGAAAGGGAATCCCTCGTCCTCATTATGCTCATGCGTGAGCAACCCATCAAGCCTCCGCACTGTGGTAAAAAACCCATCCTTCCCGGTACTTAACACACTACACCCCTACGCAGATACCCACACTATGACTACTTGAAACAATCGAAAACGGTTCCCATGTACCTACACCGAGTATTGCAATCGTAGGGATCTCATCTACATACACAGACTTGTTCGGCGCAGACGATTACAGCACAGGGTATAAGTTACTCCTGCCTCATCAATCCGCCAGCAGAAAGGCGTGGGAGGGAAAGCAAAGAATCGCTGCACATCCTACTCATATTGCGACCAAGATACGAGCAACCGTCCCAATTCCCCAATAAGCATCCATCTATGAGATAGCACACACACCCAAGTGCCCAACCCCCAATACAGCTCCCAAGATTGTTAAGCAAGCCTTATACCGAGAGATCTCCATCGATCAAACAAACAATGGTATGTACAGTCCTGTACAATCGACCAAGGACTCCAGAAGACTGCGGAAACAGAAATCGAAATGAGGAGTTGCAAGCAGCAGATGTCCACTGGATTTCCTTGCCGGGCGAATCCGGGGTGCACAGCCTATCATCCGTCTCGAGGGGATGCCATTAATGACTTCATCATGCACAGATCAACAACGCAAAACAGAAAAAAGCAAAAGAAACAACACATGGGGCAGAAATATGGTGAGTATGCCACAAGGGTAAGCATATTCAAGGGACTGAGGTGGAGGGTGTAGGAGGAGAGAGGACGTAAGATCACCATATTACCACACAAAGGGTAGGCAGATCTCACAAGTAGGATGATACTTAGGCTAGGGAGGGTGGCGTATCCCTAAAGTACTTTTCGCTTCGCCGCCACGATCAAAAGTTCATCAGAGGGTAATTCGGGAGCATAGGTATCATCCTTGTTTGTCCAGGGAGTGAGAAACAACCAGAGAGGAGAAGAGGAAAAGAGGAGGAGAAGAAGGCAGGTGGAAAAGGATGGGAAAAGAGGAAGAGGAAAGGGAAGGGAGAAGGGGAAGGAGGGGGAGGTATGATGGTGAGAACTAATGACGTTACCTCCGGTGTCATACTCCCCACTTCCTCATCCGTCGTGGCCTGGTGTACCATCTCCTGGAAACTGACGGGGAAGGCCATAACGTAATGGCTGGAGGTCAAATGAGAGCACTAACGATGGTTTGCACGAGAAGGAGTCCCTTGGTATCCTTGCTAGGACGAGCTTGAAGGTAAGCGAAAGTGCCAGCGAGACAAGTGGCAGAGACGCAAAAGGGGCGAAAGTGAATCGTCCCTTATATGCCGAGTAGACTACCATGAGCGGGGTAGTCTTGGCGGACATGGGTCAGGGAAAAAGAAGTCGAAGAATAACAGTAGGTGTGGAGCGTGGGACCAAACTGGGCAGATCCCGGGTCCGAGGGGATTAGAGTGCGAGAAAGGGCGAGAGAAGGGAAGGGGGAAGAGAGAGAGAGAGAGAGTGAAGGCGAGAGAGAGAGAGAGAGAGAGGCGAGAGAGAGAGAGGAGGGGGGAGAGAGAGGGGAGAGGAGAGAGCAGGGGAGCAAGGGCGAGGGGGAGAGAGAGAGAGAGAGAAGGTGAGGGCGTAGACGCAATGGGCGCTAAGCAGCGGTGGTGAGCGTAGCAGAAGCGGTAAGCATCCTCTGGCAGCGAGCAACCATATCCCATGCATGGGCGACAAGGGCCAACACGGAGCGCTTAGTCGAGCCGAGCCTTCTGAAAGTCAGTATGGATGCCGACTTGCGAAAGGCTGGTCTACTAGGCGTCCGTACCTGCTGGCGCTGGAGGGACTGATCGGTGTTTCGGCATCTGTTAAATATCAAGAGGTCACACACTTCCAATAGGGAGCGGAGGCCGTCATTACGGGAATCATGGCATCCGAAATTTTTGGTTATGATCCCGACGCAGCCTGGATGGACCTGGACTCTACGGGAGCTATAGTACCTTATTATTCCTCTGGAGAGGTACCATGGACAGCGCACGGTAGTTCACTAGGGGCCTCCTATTCATTCAGATATCCTGGTTCAAAAACGGTGGTCCTTATCCGGAGTATTATCGAGGCTATCACTCTCGCTCAAGCCCGCCTTATTTACACCCCTCGTTTCTTTTCCGGCAGGCAGTGGGGATGCCTAAACTCCTCACACATATATATATATACATATATATGCACATAATCATTGAAGGAAAAAAATTGCCCATAAAATGAAAAATTATACATATGAAAAAATTGATAAAAAATAATGAAAAATAATAATAATAATGAAGCAAAAAGAAAAAAAGAAAGAAGGAAAGAAAAAAAGAAAAGTTTTTCTTGATGATTAGATAAAAACAAAGAGTATGCGTGTGTGTGTGTGTGTGTGTGTGTGTGTGTGTGTGTGTGTGTGTGTGTGTGAATGTGTGTGTGTGTGTGTGTGTTCGTATGCCGCCGGGGGGCTGTGAACCCCCCCCCCCCACCCCCACCCCCATCAATCAGTCAATCAATCAAAAAATCAATGACTCAATGAAACATAGGATCAAAGACACGCGATCAATTGA